ATAAATCATGGCTCCATTTATACAACTATAGATCCATTAAACTCGTTCCATCAATTTTTTCATATTGTAAAAGTTTTCCGATATATAGTTATCAATAACATCAACTCTTTCATAAGTTAACACAATTCATCGTAAAACCTCTTCAAAAAATGATGTCCAAACTTCGAGTGTAACAAACATGTCAATACGAATAATAGTGAGAGGTTTTTTTAAACTAAGCCCAATCTCTTTATTGTATGCATTTAACAAATTATAAAATGACTCGGATAGTAGGATTTAGGAGCTCGTCGGTGTTTGACGAAAAAAATGATGGACCGACTACATCTATCACCATTGTGTGATATGGATTGGCTAGAGGTTTATCAAATATTCGTTCAGACTTCAACAAAATTTCTCGAGTTATCACCATAAACCACCGACTCACTTTCTCTTTGATGTCTCCACACATGATACCCGAAAACAAAATCATATCTAGTTATGATACTTTTTGAGTTTACAAGAATATCTAATCTTATTTTCATCCATACACTCACGATGACTAATGACAAAAGCAATAAATTCATTTACCTCATCAAGAAAACACCGATTTAAAAGACATTGATATACTATAGTCCATCCATGAACGATCCGAATTCATAATTAGTTTTGTGTGCAAATTCAAGAGAAAACAGAATAACTGGTTATTATTATTTAAAAATTATACATTAGACATCATACAAATGTTTGTTATAACTAATTAAAATTCTAAAAAAATTTCAATAGAATTTCCACTATAAACTGGGCATTTCTTAATTAACGAAACATAATTAACATCAAATTAATTATTCTCATTCCCCCATTTTCATCGCGAGCATTGACATGAACCTTATACCGTCTCAATTATTTCCCGAGCGACATCATATCCCTAGGGTGTCACCCTAATATCGATGACCAAACACATCAATTTTTTTGACATTTCAAGTATAATTACATAAATACTTCAATGATAATCTCAATAGAAAATAATATAACAAACAATTTCATACAAGTATGAACTATAAAATTACACCTAAATAAATATATTTAACACCTAATGAATTTTTTTCGAACAAATAATTAACTTATTTTAACACATAAATAACTTAATTAACATCAAATTAATTAAAATAACACCTAATTAAATTTTTAAAACAATTAAATAATTTAATTAACAATTATTTAACTTATTTCAACAACTAAATAACTTAGTTAACACCAAATTAATTAAACTAACACCTAATTAATTTTTTTAAAAAAAATATTTAAGTAATTTAATTAACAACTAATCAACTTATTTTAACACATAATTATCACCAGATTAATTAAACTAGCATATAATTAAATTTTTTAATTATGAATTAATTTATTTAATTAACAACTAATTAACTTATTTTAACACTTGAATAACTTAATTAACACAAAATTTACTAAACTAATACCCGATTAAAATTTTTTATTAAGAATTAATTTAGTTGATGAACAACTAATTAATTTATTTAAACACCTAGATGTCCAAAAGGAGGTTAGGAACATTGATCATCTAGCCTCGGTTTGGTCCTACAAAGGTAAAGTTTTTTTCACAAAAATCTTTTAAAAAGATGATTATTTGTAACACTATATTATGGGAGTTATGGTTAGCTAGGAACAAATCAATCTTTGATGATGAAAAGATGTGTTAGCTCAAAATCAAGCATAGAGTTCTACTATGGTCGTATGAACTATCCTATATATTTTGCCCGAAAAGAAATACTTCCTTTTATGATAGTTTATGTCTAGGTGCCTTAGGTCTTTCTCCCGTGTCATTGACTCCCAAGCAAAGGGTATTGGATTAAATGGCATCAATCTACCATGGGCAAGCTAAAGCTTAACACATGGGGGCTTCAAGGAACAATCAATACGAGTAGTGGAGGCTTGATTCGTGATGATAGAGGCAATGTTATCATTGCTTTTTCATTTTCTTTTTTATTTTTTGGCGTAGGGACTAACTCCATGAGGGAGGCTTTAACTTTCCTAGAGGGGCTAAAATTATGTCAAGAATATAACATTTTATATGACATTGTGAAGGTTGATTCGTCTTTGACTTTGGGTAGTATCTCACAAATTGTTTCTAGTCCTAGGCATCTTACGTATATTTTTCAAAAAAGGTTCGGCTATTATTCAATCAAGCGTTCACATTTAGCATTGTTTTCGAAAACATAGCAAATCCGCAAATAAGCTTACAGATTGGGCTTTTCAGCATGCTTCGAGTAAGATATTGTTTTTGATGAATGATATGCTTTTTATGTGTAGAATGGCTATTTCGGATGATAGATTTGGTCTCGTTTAACTTGCATCCACAAGTGAGCTTCTTTATGAATTATAGGTTTCACTCCTTACTCATTTTTTTTAGGGGTTTAGGCTTTCTTACACTCTTAGCCTCTAGGGATATGTCGGATTGTCCCTCCTTCTTTTTTCCACGTTTCATTCATCTAATTTCAAGATACCTCTCTTATTTCTTAAAAAAAATTATTTTAACACCGAAATAACTTAATTAACATAAAATTAATTAAACTAACACCTAATTAAATTTTTAAAAAATTATATAATTTAGTTAGAAACTAATTAACTTATTTTAACAACTAAATAACTTAATTAACCTCAAATTAATTAAACTAACACCTAATTAATTTTTTTATTACGAGTAAATTTATTTAATTAATAACTAATTAACTTATTTTAAAACCTAAATAACTTAATTAACTTCAAATTAATTAAACTAAACCTAATTAAATTTTAATTAGGAATTAATTTATTTAATTAACAACTAATTAACTTTTTTAAGACCTAAATAGCTTAATTAACACCAAATTAAATAAACTAAAACCTAATTAATTTTTAAAATAATTAAATAATTTATTTATTTAATTAAACTAACACCAAATTAATTAAACTAATAACTAATTAAAATTTTTAAATAATTACATAATTTAATTAACCACTAATTAACTTAATTTAACAACTAAATAACGTAATTAACAACCAAATTAATTAAACTAACACCTAATTAATTTTTTTAAACAACTAAATAATTTAGTTAACAACTAATTAACTTAATTTAATAACTAAATAACTTAATTAAAACCAATTAGTTGAACTAACACCTAATTAAATTTTTTAAACAATTAAATAATTTAATTAACAACTAATTGACTTAATTTAATAACTAAATAACTTAATTGACACCTAAACTAACTCCTAATTAATTTTTTTAACAATTAATTAATTTAATTAATAACTAAAAAATTAACACTAATAAAAAATAATTAAAAATAAATAATTAAACAACAATAAATATAAGTATTGAAATCAAAGGAAAAAAAAATCAATGACCAAGCAATCGAATCAAAGGAAAAAACCCAAGAACTCCCAATGATTGAGGTGGGAAGCCCATAGATGAAGGAGGAGAGAAGGGAGGAACTGTTGTCAACCCACAAAAAAGAGGAGGGAAGGGAGGAGTTGCCGCCAACTCATGAAAAAGAGGAGGAGAAGGAAACGAGAGAAAGAAGAAGAAAATGGAAGAGGAAAAGGGAAAGGGTAAAGGGGAAAAAGAAGAAAAGAAGAGAGAATGAGAGTTTAGAGGAGTCGTTGGTGTCAATGGAGGATTTTTAGGAGTAATGGTGTTCGCCAAACGAAGAAGAGATAAGAGAAAAAGAAAAAATAGAGAAAAAATGGGGCAAAATTCTATCTAGGGATTTTGTGTTTAACGACGGTTTTTGATCCGTCGCTAAACTTACAATCCCTCCGATTTCTTTTAATTTTTAATTTCTCCCCTAATTGTAACAAATTAATGACGAGTCTAAGAAACCATCGTTAAAAAACCTCCATTTTCGAGGGATTTTAGCAATAGATTTTTTTAAAAAAAATCATCGCTATAAATCTCTCAGCTTTAAAGGAGAATTTATAGACCATCGTAAAAAAGCACTTAAAATTTTTTATTCCCCCCAACTCGTAACAAATTAGTGATGGTCTAAAAACTCGTCGATAAAAACCTCCATTTTTCGGGGATTTTAGCAATGGTTTTCCAAAAATCATTGCTAAAAAAACTCTAGTTTTTGGGGATTTTAGCAACCGGCTTTCAAAAACCATCGCTAAAAACATTCCAAGTTTAAGGGGGATTTAGAGACGATGTACACAGATCGTCACAAAAAACACCTAAAATTTAGGTAGAACAATCGACGATTTGGTCGAGCCGTTGCAAAAAACCGGTTTTGAGAAAATTTAGCAACGATCTTTTTAAACTATTGCTAAATCCCCAAAAAAATAATTTTTTAGCGACAATTTAATAAAAATCGTTACTAAAAACTCCTAACTTAGTTCGAAGTCGTGACGTTTTCAAAATCATTGTCAAAAACTCGACACTTGTAATGAAATTAGCTACAATACTTTACTTAGTCTATCGTTAAGAAACGATCGATAAATCTATGTTTTCTTATAGCGAGTGTTGTAACACATGTATGATATCAATGTACAAACTTGAGAGAGTGTTGAGATTTTCTTATTTCCTAATATAGAATTACTTGATTTTAGGAAATTGATCAATTTTTCTTAGTATAGAATTACTTAATTTTAGAAAATTGATTTTAAAATTTAGCGTGCATTAAATACAAACAGATCAATAAACTTTATTTTAGAAAATTCATCTCTATCCATTATATATTATTGTATAATTTCATCACTGAAAATATATAAAAATGAGAAAATGATGTTTTTTTATTGTTTATTTATTTATTTATTGTTATTATTGAGTATATGTGCCCACTTTTGTTTGTGGGTCGTGGTCGGATCGGAAATCATAGTCACTGGATGAAAGAAAAAATAAAGGAAAAGTAAAAAATAAAAACACGAAGGTGAAAAGCTGTAGAGAGTATTATTAGTGTTGAATTCCGTCGTTTAATTGTTTATACATATATAAATTAAATTACAAGGTGGGCGGGTTCCATTAATTAAGAACATAAAACAGGAGAAAAAGGCTTGCTGCTGATGCGATCTAGTACAATTACAAAGGCCATGATAAGCTGGGTGTCGAAACCAGGTTGTACCACCATGCTAAACACATCATCGCTCAGTAAAATCGTAGTGTTATTCACTCTCTTCCTAGATATCTTTGCCACTACTTCTCCGGTAGAAGTCTTGACGATCTTGCAATCTCTCGATCTAAATGATCCCTCAATCTTGAAATCTGGTGTGTTCTGATGATGATGGCCTAATTTTCTTCCCATGAAGATCTCTGCTACATGTTTCCGGCCTGCAGTGTGTAAAAGCACAGATGGGCTCCTCATTGAGAATACTTTGTTCTTTTCGCACCCATCTTCTCCTATGTATGCATTCCACTGGTATTGCATGCTTAGTATCTGTTAACGTCAACAACATTGGATCAGATCAGGAGTTCTAGGTTTTAGTTAGAATTAATTAAAACTAGGTAGTAATTTATATACGCACCTTGCGTTTCAAGGAAATTAAAGCATTGCCGACTCCGTCCATAAGGACAAGACCATAACCATTCTTCCTGGAATAATTGTCGACTCTGAAAACTAATGTTCCATGTGGATCAAAAACAGTGAATCCATCTGTACCCTGGAAGCTCATGCTGGATCTCTTCCATACAGTGAGCACAGATGGATCTGCTAAATATTGATCATGATGTTTACCATTCTCATGAAGTGGCCGCCTGCTGCCTTTGTGATCTTTTAACAACGAATGGCCGTGACATTTACTCTGATCAGAAGGATGAATCCTGGACATGGTGTGATCTGTTTCAAATTAACTAGGGTTGGAGAATTTTATGAATAGGCGGTATGGTATTTGATAAGGATAAAAGTAGGTGAAGAGATCAATGCAATGCAATGCAATGCCAAAATGAATTTATTGTGCAAATGGGAATCGTCCTTTGTTTTATACTAAAATTTGGGTAATGATGGGCAACGATATGTAATCGGAAACAAAGACCTTTGTCTCGGATGGATGTCTACCTCAGTGGCTTACACAACCACTTTCTCCGTAGGGTCTCTACCTTTTTAATTATATATGTTACTATATATATTTGCAGTGGCTGACTTAGTTTGATCCTCTTTTCGTCTCTTTATTCAATATTAATTTCTTACCATCAAGTAATTAATGAACAAAAAAATTCCTCATTGTGGTTTAGGAACTGTAGATGAAAACGAAAACGATCAAAACCAATATTTATGTTCTAGCTAGAGCTGTCAGGCTTTAATCACGAAGCAGGTTTAATTTCAACTCTTAGGAGATATCTACATCAATTTTACAATCATATCATATTATGCATGCAGGTATGTAGTTTACAAGCTAGGTATCTAAGCATATGGCTAATGTCACAGGAGAAATATTGATTTGCAAGTCGTATGCTAGAGATCAGTAATTCGTATGTACATATAATCACACAGATTTATTGAAATTTTAAAGAGTTTCCTAATAATAATATAATTATATGAAAGGCGATTAAAAATTGTTAGAAAATGAATAAAACAAAATGATATAACAGAAAAATAAAATATAATTATAAAAAAATTTAACGAAACGATCATTAATTTTGCGTAATATACTACACTACAGGTTACATCTATATTATTCTTTACGACTTAATAAGAATTCCCTTGATCCAAAATGTCTAAAATTGATCTCAAGCTCTCTTTATGATTGAAGTGGTTAGCTGCCTGCCTAGCTCCTAATCCTTCATTAATTACTAGGGCATGGAGAAGCCTATATAATTATGTTGCTTTGGGTTTAGGACACCGTGAGGTGCATTTGGTCGAGCATTTAACGGAAATAATCATTTCCCTTTTTTCCACAGTATAGAGGGCATCATAAGCAATATCAGCATAAATTAATTTTCATTTATCCTACGTGGGGCAAAAACTATAATGGTTTTCTGCCTTTTTCATGAGTAATACTAGAATTAATTAAGCTGGCTAGATAGCTCCAAGTCCATGCATGATACGGGTGACGACCAATTTGTCGTGATAATGAAAATTTTGCTTCTCTCGTCAAAAAATATGTGAATATCTATAGTATTATATATATCAACTTGTAATTGTCTAATTTGTTTAGAGTACTAGAAATCTACGAAGATCACTACCTCTACGTACATAACAAAAAATTCGTGGGTTTTAGCTGGAGCCAATGTGTTTCCTTGTTTAATTTCTTTGTTTTCTTGCTGTCTGTCCTGATTCATAATATTCTTCGCGTACAGGATTTTGAATGTACTAGTTTCGATGGTATCAGCCATATGAAAACTAGTTCGAATAAGAACAAAGGATAAACAGCGTGAAGACTGGAATCACAGATATGTGTCCGTCGATTGAAGGACGGTTTAATAGTAGATTAACAATTTGAGTACGAGTCTTAGTGCTAGTAAAGTAATGTTTTTACACTTAATTAATTATGCAACTTGGTTTAGTGCCCTATGTTTTGAGTCACGGAAGCACTAAGTGGTTGTGAGATCACATTCTCTCCGAGGTCATTTTCTTAAGTAGGATAAATTAAGTAATAGGAACTAATAGATTAGATCTAATTCATTGGAAACTGACATCTCTTAAGACAAGAATGTTTCTGGAAATATAGAATTCTCCCTGTCGTCGTAAGAATTTGGGAGGTACTAATGAAAAACAAAATGCAAATAGTAAAAAAGAATATATATATTCTAGTAGGTAATAGCATACATCCGGTTAATCCAAACTTGAAGCCGCTTGCTTTTATGTATATTCTGATTTTTGAGCAGTTTCCTTTCCGATATTCCGATTAAGACAAGAGATTAAAGCTGGTGTTAAGTTGCATGATCCAGTAGAGAAAAAAGAAGATCAAATTAAGTTTTATCGTCAGATTGACCTGGTCACCGTCAGATCAGCCGTGGCAATTGCGGAAAGGAAAGCAACATTTACAGCTGAACGTATTGATTGCATGATTAAAAAAGGGTAAAGAGATCATTCATGGCAAAACCGAAGGATGATGATTAGTATAATGGGATAATTAAAGACTTTAGATAACATATGTTTATATCCCATCCACTTGATGGATTGCGAATTCCAAACTTTGTAAACCATGGGCCGTGTGGCTTCTTCCTTGATAATAATAATGAAAAAAACAAGTTGATCCCTCAATCCAAGGAAGTCCTAATTGGGATAAACATGCATCAAACGAAATTTATCCAATGAAAAAGTTACGAATAGATTAATATTGAAGTTAATAAACAAAACTTGAATAAAATCACGTGAATGCCATTGTTTCCATTCGCTAATATTTGGTTATCATTTTTTTCATGATCTGTAATACGATTCCAATAATTATAATCCAACCGAACCTATTGCAAGACACTCTTCTTCTATTCTCTGCGAAGCAAGGATCATTCCTTCTTCCTGTTTTGCTTGTTTTTTACAGCTGTAAATTAATCATTATTTAGTTTCTTTAATTAATTTGTATATATACCCTTCTTTCAATTTAATTGAATGAGAGAAAATACTTCTTTTCATAAATTTTTTTACTGTAATATGGTATCGGAGCATCTCCTGCTAAACCATCTCACTCTTGTGTTTTTTCTTTGATTTTCTCTTGCCAAACAGTTTCGTTTTGGTCTTTGATCTTTGTTCTTCCTTGTTTCTCTCTTATTTTTTTTTTTACCGAAAATCACCTTAACCACTTTACCTACTATCTCAAATCCCCCTTGCACAGACTGAGGAGCTCCCTTCAAGTCTATATTTCCTTCATCCAAATAAAAACCTAGCTTTTATTCTTCTCTTCACTCCTCTCACAAGATCTAACTACCATGGATGGTCCGGATCAATGCGCATGGCTCTCTTATCCAAGAACAAAATCAAGTTCATTGATGGATCCATTTTGATGCTTGCTCCTACTCATGACCTCTATCTTTATTGGGAACGATGCAATACCATGGTTCCGTCATGGTTGCTAAACTCTATCTCTAAATAAATCAAAAATAATGTCCTCTAGATGGACACTATGAAGGATATTTAGGATGATCTTCATGAACGCTTCTCTCAAGGAGATGCTTTTCGAATCTCCGATCTTCAAGAGGAATTGTATGCTCTTCATCAAGGTTCATTATCCGTTTTTGAATATTATACTAATTTGAAGATTATCCGGGATGAGCTCACAAATTTGAGACTCATTCCCTCTTATGCTTGTGAACCCAAATCTTCCTATATTGCCCTCACTATTGTTCAAAATTATAGATCTAATGATATGTCATCGGCTTTTAAAAAGGTTGAATGATAGTTTCTCCACTCGTCAAGTATCAAATCATGTTACTAGATCTCTTACCCTCTATCGGTAAGGTTTTTGCTATGCCTTCTCAACATAAGAGACAATTTATGTCTCGCTATTGGTTCTTCTATAGAAATTATCGCTAGTGTTTTATATGGCAAGACCATTTTTGAATTTTAAGGCAAATTTCAAGGTGCTTCTCGAGTCCAAAAAGTATAATCCACATGGATCAAAGAAAATGTATCCAACTGGTTCACCTATCTACTCTTTATGTGGCAGAGAAGGACACACTCGTGGATAGGAGTTACTAAAGACATGGTTTTCCTCCTATAATGAAGAACAAGCCTAAACCTATAAGAAGTTTTGTCAACCATGTTAATACTTCTCTTCATGATGGGGATTATGCGGACCTTGACCGGGATAGTCATTCTCCGGATCCTTATTCCGTGAGTTTGCGTAACTCTTATCCTATAGGCATTCCATTCACACAAGACCAATGCTCCAAATTAATGGCTCTCATTTAACCCGGTTCCACTTCCATAGTAATTCCTCATGTTAATATTATATCTTCTAACTTTGCTCCCATAGCCGAAATGTTAAGTAATTACATTTCTACAAGTTCTTTCTCAAACAATACAAAGATTCTTCAAAAACACACTTAAATCATTGACTCAAGAGCAATAGATCATATTGTTTGTTATCTTGATTATTTTACTTCTTATAAACTCGTTACCAATACATTTATTAAACTTTCAACTCGGGCAACCTACTTCTTTTCCCATATCGGTGAAATTCAATTCTCTACCGATTTTATTCTCCATTTAGCTTTCTTTGTTCTCACTTTTTCCCTCAATCTTATATCTACTAGTAAACTTTATTCTCGCTTCTAACTAATGTGTCATTTTGAAATTTAATTGTTGTATTATTCGGGATCTAGGATGTTAGAGGATGATTGGATTAGGTAGGTAACTAAATAGTCCATATCAACTTATCCATCCCTAGTTTCTAAGAAGTGCGATTCTTTTTGCTTCGGACTCTCTTTCTTCTATTATACCTTTTAGTTACGTAAACAGTACTTTCTAATGGAATTTTGTTACTCCTCAAATTTGGTAAAACATATTAGGCTATGTATCTCGCTCATAGGATTAAACTTCTACGAGCTATAGATCCTTCTATCGCTATCAATCTTAATATAATATGTGACATTTTTCACTTTGTAAAATAAAAGAAATTACCATTTTCTCGTCTACACTTTTATTAGAACCGCATGCTTTGATCTTATCCATACCGATATTTGGGGCCTCATGTCCGTTTGCACCATTCAAGGACACGGATACTTCTTAACCATTGTTGATGACTTCGATAAAGCTACATAAAGGCTAATTCTGAAGCTAAAACATTACTTTAATACTTCGCACTTTCATAAAAACATAATTTTCTATTGTAATTAAATGTATTAGATTTGACCAAAGAAAAAAGTTTGACATGTCCGACTTTTATGCCACTAATGGTATCCCGAATCAAACCTCTTGTGTTCACACTTCACAAAAAAATAGTATTATGGAAAGGAAACATCAACACTTTCTTAATATTGCTCGAGCCTAAGGGCTTTAAGCTCACCTTTCTCTTTCTTTTTGGATGATTGTGTCCTATATATTGTTCATTTAATTCATAGAATACCCTCCCCTATCACCACTAATCACACCTCCTTTGATCTCCTCTATCATAAAACACCCTCCTTCAGTAACCTCAAAGTCTTTGGTTGCCTTTGCTTTGCCTCCATAATTGACCAAGGTCAATCTAAATTTGATACCGGGGTTACTAAATGCATGTTTTTAGGTTTTCCTTATGGTATTAAAGGATACAAACTTTATAATCTTCAAACCGGATATATTTTCATTTCTAAAAATGTTATCTTTCATGAAATTATTTTTTCCTTTCATTCTTCTTCATTTTCTTATCGAGATCCCACCTTATATCCCCTTCTACATTACTTGACAATCCTCTTCCTTATGACCTTATTTCTTCTTTTTCCTTTGATCACTTTTTCTCATCAAATACATCTTCTCCCTCTCATTCTCCACCTCCAGAATCACGTACTCTTGATTCGGTGTCTTTTCTCGATTTTGTTCCTCTCCAAAGATCTACCAAACCTCATATGCTCCTTCTTACCTTAAAGACTACCATCCTTACAAGCATAACTGTCTCAATCTAATCCATCCTCTATATCGGGTTTAGAGATTTTTTTCATTAGGTAACTCTTCTTCCTCTCGTTCTTTAAATTTTGTTCTATCCTACACCAACATCTCTCTTACACATAGGAATTTTACCATTAACGTTAGTACTTATTTTGCACCCAATACCTACAACCAAGACATCAAACACCCTTATTGGAAGGATGCTATACGGAGTTGAGATAATTGCTTTATAGGATAACAAGACTTGGGAAGTTTTAGACTTACATGTCTCTAAACACCCCATTAGTCGTAAATGGATATACAAGGTGAAACATAAAGCCGATGGCTTTATTGAAAAACATAAGACTAGGCTTGTGGCTAAAGGTTACACCCAATAATATGGAATTGACTACTTAGAGACCTTTTCCCTTATTGCTAAAATGACTACTCGTTAGAACTCTCCTTGCCATAACTGCTACAAAGAATTGGTTTTTACAATAGTTAGATGTCAATAATACTTTCCCTCATAGAGATTTGCATGAAGAGGTATATATGGAGCTTCCTCTAGGGTTCTCTTATTCTAAACCCAATCGGATGTGCAAACTTCTCAAGTCTATCTATGGTCCGAAACAAGCAAGCGAGCGAGTGGTTCTTCAAACTAATAGAAGCTTTATTGCGATAAGGTTTTAAATAAGCACAATCAAATCACTCCTTTTTCACCAAATCAATTGTTGCTGGTTTCATTGGAGCTCTAGTATATGTAGATGACATGATCCTTGTAAGTGACGGTATATATTGCATTGATGAGCTTAAAACCTTCCTACACATTACATTCGAAATCAAAGATCTAGAAGATTTACACTTCTTTCTTGGATCGGAAGTATCTAAAACGGAATCAAGAATCAATCTCTGCCAATGAAAATATGCTCTCGAGTTGCTCAGTGATACTAGTTTTCTTGCTCGCAAACCTCGCCAAGACACATATGCATCTTAGGACACAATTGATAAAATATGGTGTTACTCCTCTAAAAGACATCACATCCCATAGAAGGTTAATAAGCACGCTTCTATATCTCAATACCACTAGACCTAATCTATCCTTTCATTGTGCAAGCAACTCTCTCAATTTCTTGATCATCTCACTCAATCTCATTTAAATGTTACACATCGTATTCTCAAGTATATTAAGGTCGCTTATTGGACAAAGGTTGTTCCTTGCTTTTAAATCAACTATTCGGTTATAAGGATTCTCCAATTCTAATTGGACAACTCCGTCCTACAGACTAGAAAATCGAGTGAGTGGATTCTATATTTTTCTTGGTAATGCTCGATCTCCTAAAAATCTAAAAACGAACAACGACTTCTCGTTCCTCGTCAAAAGTCGAATACGGGGCTCTTGCAGCAACTACATGTGAGATTCAATGGCTTTTGTACGTATTGGCATATTTGAATATAGATCACTCCTAGTCGGCTCTCCTCTTCGTGACAATCTTTCGACCATACACATAGCTGAAAACATTG